TTTTGCAGAAAATCTCATTCTAGAGTAAATGCAGCTTTCTGCTTTGACCTCCTGAGGTTTGGGAAAGTTTTACTTGTTTTCCTTTTGAAAAATTTCAATGTCCAAATTAATTCGTCAACAAAAAAATGGTGAAAATTTATACGGAGTATAACATATACTGATTAGAGAACAAATGCAAGCAACCCAAACCTGATATATTGCTAATTTGGACCCTGTAGTTCCTACTTTCTGTTTTCTGTCTTCCTTGTATTTATACTGATTCTCTGCTACTTGAGGTCATAGGAAACACTAATCATGGACTGCATTACTTTCTTTCATTGTTCTTGTCTAGCCACTGTTGGTATTGCAGTCATATGGTCATCTTTTCTATATTATTTGGTTATCTTACATATTTTGGTCTTGTTTTCTTTCTTTTAGATCCTATTTTTAACTCCTTTTTTTTGGGTCGGGGGCATTAGAATATCTTAAGATGCTTAATTTAGTAAGACGTTGAACTTTGCATTAATTTTGAATTATTACAGCATGCTCTGATTTGTTTTTAATTTTATTTGTATTTTTTTTGGGTAGGCTTGGTTACAAAACTAACAGATGACCAAAAATATGGCATGATCGAAGCTATAGCTCACCTTATACACAGAGATTATGGTGCAATAGTCAAGGATTTTGTCAAGTTAGGTTTCATTCCAGAAGGGGTTAATTTGGAACCAATCTTGCCAGTGCTGGCAAAGGTTTTTGATCAGGCGCTTGAAGGTGGAGGAGCAAAAAATATTAACTTCCAGGAGCTGGCATCTGATTTGGCACAAATAACATTTGATTATCCATTTAGAATACCCCCTTATTTTGCTCTAATCATTCGAGCAATAGGAGTTCTGGAGGGTATTGCCTTAGTGGGAAATCCTGACTTTGCCATTGTGGATGAAGCCTATCCATATATTGCACAGGTAGAGTATTAAGAGGCTGCTATTCGTGCTTTTCGTATACTCCATAATTTTTTGGAGAAGCCACAAGTTATTTTACTGAGTCTCTTATTTTACTCTACAAAATACGTTACTTGTGCCAAAAAAAGAAAGTTCTATATCTGTATGTATACTCTGAAGTTAACTCATACCTTTCTTATCAATACCAGAGACTCCTGACAGATGAATCTCCACGTTTGAGGAGCGCTTTAAAATATACCATATATGGGAAATCTGGTGTCTTTGATGCCGAAAGATTTATAGATGTCATGCAAGCATTTGAGAATTTCATAACTGCAGCTAAGAGCGGAGGTGGGGAGAATTTGAATGGGAGAATGGCAGAACTTGGAATTATACAAACTCAACCAAATTACATGCTTCCTGTACTCCCATTCGCTGCTTCTGAAGGGATGCAACCTGTTAAAACTAGAGCAGCCTTGGGATTTCTAATTTCTGAAAAAGGGAACTTTTTCCGAGAATTTCTTTTGGATGAGGTATGTTTACGAATTGAAGTTTAGGGAAATGTTATTGCTGCCTTTTATAAATAATATTTGGTTGGATCAAATATTCCAAGGAACCCTAAACACGCGTATACACATTGACTTTAAGCAGATTGTAAAAGGAATTGATGCAGTTACAAGGGAACAGTTGGTGCAAATAATGGCTTTACTTGGAATACAAAATGCATCTCCAGTATTCAGCATGGTTCCTACTTTAGGGCCTATCAAACCCGCTGCGTTTTTGCCAACCATAACGGAGGAGGACAAAGTCATATTAAACAATGTCCAGAAGATAGCTGATTTCTTAACAGCTGGAAGTGCAATTTCATCAAACCAGGTACATTGACCTTTTCCTCCCTGAAAAAAATATTCATTCTATCTTCCATAGACCGTATATAGATTGTGTTTATGATCTACTTAGGCAGTTGTATGGATTAATATTTAATCATAATACAAATTGTTTTTTGAATCATAAACAAACTTGGGCTAAATTTCAATTATTCATATCATCCTTCTTACTTGTGGTCAAAGTGGAAAGGCTCAATACTAGTATGGTGCAGAGCCATTTCAGACATTAGAAGATACTAATTGCTTTCCACATCTGCAAGGCATTATTTAATATTATCTATTGGGATTTTCCAAAATTATGAACTTCCATAGGTTCTGTCATAAAATCAACTACTGTATTTTAAATTCCCTACGTTTTACCAAATAGAGCTTATAGCTTATTTGTAGTTAAAATAAGCTATAAGTTCTAAAATAAGCTTTACCAAACAGAGTCATAGTATCCTACTATGTAATGAATTGTTAAAATGTATGCTGAGAATATTGTTTACAGTTTGTTCAACCTAATTAGATGTGCAACAATGAGAATATTGAACTGCATGCATGTAATTTCCAACTCATGTGTGCAGGGTGTTGATGTTTCTCGGGCTATTCAAGAACTTCTCCCAGTGCTTCCAGGCCTTTCGGCTAAAGTGCTTCCCGAGGTGCTCAGTCGATTATCTTCCAGAGTATTCGCACGCTTGCTACGAGATACACTACTGTAACTCTAATTAATCCATAACTTTCTTGCTCTAAACCACCTGCATTATATTGTGCACATTTGGTGATTCACATGCCTAGAGGCTAGAGTAGAGATTACACAAATACAGTATAGATTGACAATATATTGAATCCTCTCTTTCTGTATTCAAATAACAGAAAAATCTGTATAGTTCAATTAATGGAAAGCTTTATGCTAAAATCATTTTTTTTTTTCTTTCTACAGTATTCAATTCTTCTGATTGTTGGCTGTTACCAGTACTAAAGTGCGCTAAGGTTTTAGCATTTTTAGGTTTCACTTGTGAATCTGGACTATGGCTGGTCTATCTGGTTATCAAAGAACCATTGACTGTCCCTCTGCACCACAGTCAAAGCTTGGACCATGCCCCGCCATATGAAGGACAGATTATTCCCAATCTTGACGTCAAACAAATTACTATTAGGATAATATCTACTCTTGTACACTCTGGCCACGAAAGAATTCGGTCTGGTCAGTAACCTCCATAGCTGTTTACCCAGAAGCGCGATATTCATTTCACGCAGACGCCTGAACCCCATCCCACCCTTACTCTTAGGCAAGCACAGCCCACTCCAATTTTTCCAGCGCAGACCATGACCTCCATTAATTGAACTTGGCCACCAATATTTATTCAAAAGCACTTCGATTTCACACATCTTTTGATCTTCAAAACTTTGTACCAACAAGTACAAAAAATATGAATATAATTATATTCATTTTATTTTTTTTAATAAGGAAGGGGATACCCTACATATACACACTATTTGCCTCAACTGAGGTTCAAACCTTACACCTCCCACTTAGGGGAACAACCCGATACCAGTGGACTACAAGCCACTTGGTAATTATATTCATTTTATAACTTATATGCAAAGCAAATAAGCAAATTATTTTCAATTTTAGTCACATAATTTTATATTTGTTAATATTCTTTGATTATTCTCAATTAAATGTCAATTTTTTTGACAAATTCTTATAAGTGGGTGGACAGTAATAAAAAAAATGGAAATTGGGGAACAGACATTATCCAATCAATCTTTATGTTTGCCAGTTAAGATTTTACAAAAAAAAAAAAAAAATAAAGTAACTTAGGCATTAAACATTTCTCAATAACTTCTATTACTTAGATGTAATTGATTTTGTTTTCAAACACAAACAACTTGATATTATTATTGTTTTTTTTTTTTTCTGTTAATATTTAACTTACAATCAATCACTGAAGCGTTCTATAGTATACGAGACTGTAACATGGTATAAGAGCACTTAGTGGTGTCTAGATTATAACATGATATCAGAACATGATAAAATAATACTGTAGGAAGTAATATGGTGGCGCGAGACATTGTCCCAATAATAACGATGTTTGCATTTTATTTTTTAAAATAATACTGTAGGAAGTAATATGGTGGTGCGAGACATTGTCCCAATAATAATGATGATGATGATGATGATTGGGCCACTGAACTAAAAAAGAATGTAATTGGGCCACTGAACAACGCAAAATGTTGTAATTCGACCAAAAATGACATGTTTACTTGTTGCTGATGTGGAGGTTATCATGTTAAAATAATAATTTTTTTTTATTTTATTATAATAATTTAAAATAACAAAACTAAAAAAAATTAAAGAAATTTAAAAAAAATTTAAAAAAAGAACAGGTTTGCCACCGAAGACGAAGAACCAATCTTCGTCTCCGGCAGCCTGGAGACGAAGAAGGTTCTTCGTCTCCAGGCTGCCGGAGATGAAGACTGGTCAGCGGAGACGAAACGTAAAACCCGTTGTTTTTTTTTTTTAATTTTTAAATTTATTTTTGTTATTTTAAATTATTAAAATAAAATTAAAAAGTATTATTTTAATACGGTAACCCCTCATCAGGTAAACAAGTCATTTTGGGCTTAATTGCAACATTTTGTGTTGTTCAGGGACCCAATTGCACTTTTTTTGAGTTCAATGGTCTGATTGCATTTTCGTGTGTAGTTCGATGGCCTATTTGATCCTTATTCCTAACAATAATTAATACCCATTTTGGTCCCTCAACTATTAAATAATAATAGTTAATACCCATTTTGGTCTCTCAACTATTAGATAAATGGACTTTTGCCCCTCTCTATAATGGTAAATGGATGATAATTGTAATGGATGACCAAATTGGGTATAATTTTACAAGTTAGAGGACTAAATTGGATACTTTTAATAGTGTGGGACTAAATTGCGCATTATCAAATAGTCGAGGGACCAAAATGGGTATTAACTCACAAATAAATGATGTGTCAAGTATCTTTGTAATAAATGACAATATATGCCAAGGACCTTGTGGTCCAATGACATCAAATTAAACTCCCACATAGCATATTGCGGGTTCGAGCTTCAATGGATGCGCTATTGACTCACGGTAAAAAAAAAAAAAAAAAATAAATAAATAAATAAATTCAGAATTAACTCTTTTCAAAGGATAGTATTAGGAATTATTGTGCAAAGACCTTCTCTAGTGGGCAGGAACTTAAACCAAATTCCACAATTTGCATACCACAAAATATCTATAAAATCTACCATACAGATCATGTGAACAGTGGAATCTTGTGTTCACCTGAAGCAAAAGAGATGATATTTCGTTTCAGTGGCGATATATAGTGCGCAGCATGGAATGCAGCAGCCCGCAGTAGATTCACAGGCATGAAATCAACAGAATATGCCTTCTGGAAACCATCGAGAACGGCCATCATTGCAATGTTTGCAGGTTTTCTCTCGGATTCGTATTTCTTCAACACAGAAACCTGTTTCAGGAAAGCCTTTTGATCAGTACATGCATAACGGGAACGAAAATAAGCAGAATGGTTTGTGTAATGCCCGAAACACAAATTGCAAGAGCTCATTTTAAAGTGGATTGCACTTTTGTCTTTTGCTTTTGCTCCAACAATATTGTTTATATAAGGAATTCATATATATATCTATATCAAAGCCATGTGCATGATGCCTCGTTTATATACATAAAGATATAGGTAGTCTAGTCCATCGCTATAGGTTATGGATACGTTTAACATAGCGGAAAATTAAGTCGAGACACAATCTTTTACACATTTTCTATGTTAATAGAACGTCTTGCAGAAACTTCTAGGGAGTTCCCAATGCAGGAAAGGATGATTCAAGGTAATACTTCTATTTATGGACATGATGGTGTTATCGAAGAACTTAAGGAAAGAAATAATTACGGGCATACCTCCCCAATGTCAGATCCTACTGCAACACCTTCAGCAATGACTTTTGAAAGAGCAATTGCATCGCCAAAGCCCATATTAACTCCTTGACCAGCCAGGGGATGAACAGTGTGTGCTGCATCACCGATAAGGACTACACGTTTTGATGCATAAGTGTTGGCGTGCATTAAGGACAATGGGAAGACCATTCTGGCTGAACACAATTTTATAACTCTGGGTGGAGCTTCAAAACGCTCATTGGCTGATTTGGGACGAGGGCCATACCCTTGATCCAATGCATGGTTCACCATGTTCACAAACTCATTCTCGCTCGCTGATATGCGCTCGGATGATTCTTTTGGGTCCATGGTCCATACAGTGTTGCTGAAATTATCACCGATGGGCAAAAGTGCAATTGGACCATTAGGTAAAAATCTCTGCCAAGCACAACGGTTCTGCTCTGCATGTTCTACTGTACAGATGATTGCACTCTGGGAATATTTCCACCCGGTTGTCTCAATTCCCGCTAACTCCCTAACACGTGATTTTGACCCATCAGCTCCAACCTGTGACACAGCACGGCTGTGAACAGCTGAAACACCGAACTGAACTATTAATATATCTATAGAAGAAATTTCTTTGTGCTTCTGCATTTAATAAACTTGAGATTTACTACCAGCTTTGCATACAAACTATCGCCATTGCTCAACTCCAATCGAGCAGAACCTCCACAAGGTTGTGATACTGTGCCAGCGGAAGTTGTCAATGGACTACTTGAGTTTACGGTCATTGAGCTTAACTTGGTAGGGTATATTCTCTTTTTAAAATCCATGCTCTGTCAAATTCTCGAGAGTCAGGAATTGCCAGTGTATAATCACCTAGTCTAGATTAAAAACATACAAAATATGCGCTTGTTTCCAAGCAAAACCTTTATAATTTCACCAATAAGGCTTAGATCGAGGTGGTTCATTTAAACAATATAAACATAGTGAATAACCTTTTAATACCTGAATGTATGATAATAGAGATCCATGTAGCACTTTATTCTCTACAACACACCTAAAGTGAATGTCCAAATATCTATGAATAAGAACTCCATAATAACAGAAACAAGAGTTGTCTCTAAACCAAAAGATGCACTTACCCTAAAACTTCTTTACCAACATCTCTTGCACTGTACCTAGTATATCCCAGACCTACAAGGTTCGGAATCTAAAGCATTAGGAAGATAGTCCTTTATAGAAGGTGGAAAAAGAGAACTCAAGTGAAGATACATGAAACAACAAGAAAAACCTCCAAAGTTCCTATGAGACAATAGGATATAAATCTGATAAGAATAGCAGAGATGATAACATATATATCTGTAGAAATAAGATTCATACTTTCATAGTAGAGTTTACAAGTTCTCTGACAAAACTTAAATGGATTATTAAGGAAACAAGGGCATTGCTTACCTGCATCTTATCAAAAAAAGCATGCCGATGTTGTTGGACATGTTGCCACGCACCCATATCTACAATGAACAACAGTTTACTTCTATGGTAAAAATTAAAACCGTTTCCTTGAGAGCAGAAATGACCTTATGCAAGTAGGGTAGCCAAAACTAACAAGCTCTACCAGCATTGCCCCCACCCCCCACATGTAGAGGCAGATTCAGGATTTTGAATAATTGAGAGGCACATTTATTAACTAAAAAAAAAAAGTTAAAGTTGAATGGGGAAAAACTAATATAAAAATGGGGTAAATAATATCATACAATCATACATCCATATCCGCAATTAATTACATCTATGGTGGCAACAATTAAAACAGTTTCCTAGAGAGAAGAGAAAATTTTAAAATTGAGTGAAGGCAAGTCTCCCCACTAAACTATTAATATGTGTGTGGGCATATTTGGTATTGGGAAAACATAGCTATTCCTGAGAATTTAAGAATAGCTAATACTAGCCCCCACCCCCACACAACACACACCTCAGAATGGCTATCCCAAAGTATAGTAATACCTCTGTAAAAGGATATAGTTGCAGGTGTGACTGTACTGACTCTTGGATCAGGGGCACCTTCCTTTTTCAACAAATCAGCATTCAGTAATGCAGGATTGCTATCAATTATAGCCACATTTAGCTGCCTTGTCAATGGCGTACTTGCTGCAACCATATTTTAAAATCTTAGACAAATTTACTGATATATTGGGAATAAAGTGAAGGTTTTTTGGATTACATAATTAAAGGAACATCACAGCCACTCACAATCCCTATATTTCTTTAGTGGAAAGATTTAAGATGATCTTGAAAACTCTTTATTCTTCAGGATCTATATGCTTTAGAGTTTTATGCTCTGAGAAGAAAAAAAGAAAAGATATATATATATTTTTAAATGCTACTGGCTCTATTACAATGTAGTATCTGTTCATATACTTTCTCAACCTACTGAAACACAAAGAACCAATAACGCCATGAGGCTCGAACTCATAACCTTCCAAATGGAAGTCCAACCCGGGTACCATTAGACCACATAGTCTTGGTAAGAAAAGATATATATAAAATAATAATAAAAACAATGCCAACATCAAATTATCCATGTTGAATAATGCATGCCACAGGGATTCAAAACTAAAACCTTGCTGCCTGATACACATTACAGAGTCACATTTGGTTGGTGAGAGATGCTGGTGAACTTATATGGATGGAATAATAAATACCTAAATATAGAAGAGAATCACTATATACTTCTGGAGGGAGTCAGAGAGAGAAAAACATTACCTAGCGAACAAGCTAAGGCCATGCCAACCATGCCTCCTCCGACAATAGCAATATCATATTGTTCGGAATTATCAATCAACTCATGCTTGTTCAGAGGTTCCTACATCATAGACCAAGAACACAAATTTGAAAACTATTCTGAAATTACAAGTGTTCAAAACTAATTGATCGACCTTGTGAATGCATTTCTCTTGAAAGATAAGTAGATAACAAAGTCTTAACCCCAATCTAGTTTGGTTCCACCAACTTCACCATACAATAAAAAGGCACTGAATGCAATGAGAATATCACATATTCACATAACTAGTTTAAACAGTCAATATTGTTGACTAAGGTAATACTAACTTATACAAACATTGCAATCACCAGATTTTGAATAAAGACTCTTGCTTTGCCTTGATGGCTAGCATGTTTCACTTTAGTCACTGACTCACTTTTCAGTTTTTCTTATTCCTTTTATGGATTTTTTTTCTTTTCTTTTTTGGACTGGTTTCAGTTTGACTTCGCTTCTACTTTTTTGCAGATGAAGCAATACATTCTAGTCTAGGACTAGATCATAAAGTGGAATGTTATTTAAATAGAGTAAAGAAACTACCTTGACAATTTGATCACAGTTAGAACCAGGTAGGCTCTGCACCTGCATTACTACACAATGCCCTCTGTGCAAACTTGAATCTCGTGATGTTAATGGCAACTCTTCTTGCAACAAAGCTAGCTCCAAAACGTTAGCTTATGATTAACCAAAGAAACATACTAGTCTTTATACAGTTGGCTTTAAGCTATAATAAAATGTGCATTAAATTGTACAAAAAGTAAAAATAAAAATAAAAATCGGATTCAACAGGCTACAAATTTCCAAGTAAGTTAAACACTTAAACTACATTCAAATTATTTCTTCATTTCAACTAGCTCATAAGGTGCAGCATCATGAGCACTCAATTTACTTTTAAAATAAAAATAAAAATTATGCATTAATCTCTTTGACAATCAGAAATTACAATCCCAATTATTTTTTTTTTTTCATTTTCAAGAATTGCTGATTACTTTTTGATAATCAAATTTGTTTCAACAATCCAAAGAGCTCATCACTGTATACGTTATTGCATAATTATCTAAATTATATAGACATCCATTGTACGTAAGCTTCAAAATGCAAAAGATAACGTGCGGACAGAGACACAATTTATTTAGGGGAGAAAAGGGGGGAAAAAAAGTAATTTACGAAATGATTTTTATCAGAAAAGTTCATAATTTTAAAATTTTGAAAGCTCAAAGAAGTAAAACAAGCACCTGTTCATTGTTTGGGGTAGACGAGGAACTGGGCTTCTGCATTACAGGAGAAAAGAATTTGAGTAAGGTACTATACAATGCGGGTCGGGTTATTCACAGGGACCAAACCCGGCTTTGGGTTAAAGTATTAACGAATTGAGTTAATATTCAATAAAGTTAATTCCACCTAAGATCTCTTATCTTTGCTGTCAATTTCAAATTTAATCTCATATTATTATTTTTGACATTTAACATCCCAGATTATTGTTTATTGGACACTTTTAGTCTTCACATGATTTTTTCTATTTTTAGTGTGAGCATTTTTGTCTTTTCATTTTATTTCTTTTTGTTATTTTTCTTGTTTCATCCGGTATAATTGGTTTAGGACTTTACTAAAAATCGGTTGAAAAATATGATTACTAAAAATCAGATGTTACCTAAAGTCCTAAACCAATTAAACTGGTTAAAACCAAAAATATAACAAAAGAAAAATATGAAAAGACAAAATGTCCTTACTAAATATAGAAAAAGTCATGAAAATGATTTAAAGTGTCTAAAAAACAATAGTTTGGGATGTTAAATGACAAAAACGATAGTCTGGGACTAAATTTGAAATTGCCACAAGGGACCTTTGATGGAATTAACTCTTATTCAATATAGTTCTCGACAGTGGTTTTACTTAATTTAGTTCTAATTGATTTTTTATGCTCAATTTAGTCCTGAACTTTGATAGTTTTATGAAATTTAGTCCTTTATTAAAAATTCTATTAGTTGACTATTAAAAATAGGGTCATAATGATAATTTACATTCCTCATCCCATTTGGAATGATTCTTCCTTTTTCCCCTTATTAAGCTTCACGCAAAAATGCAGGTCTTCATCCCCAAATCAACATCAATCCTAAATAAATAAATAAATATTTACACCAAATGCAAAAACACCTTAATAAAAATTGCATGTATAAGTCTAAACAAACTGGAAGAGTTTACAAGAGCAAAAATATTAACATACCAGAAGAGTTTACATACAGGAACTAAGCTTTTTATTATTATTATTTTTTAACCATACTGGAACTAAATTATTTTTCCTGTAGTAAGTATATATTAAATGTATCCAATTCTTTCATTTCTTATAAGGCTCTACGGTTTTTACCATTTCCTATGATTTTTTATATGATGTATGTTGTCTTAAAAACGTCTATATATAAGTCATACGGTTAAATTTCTTCCATCCCCAATGTCCATTCAACACTGCTAATGATGAACATGAACCACAGAACATCGGCAAACAATCAATTCAAGTATGGTTTCTTTGTGCATACCCTATTTTGGTGTGTGTTTGCTTTTAGTTCTTTGTCTCACATCCCCCGTTGATAATCTTTGCCAATTTGTCAACAATGGTTGAGTTGTGTACACTTTAGGATTTCTAAGGCTTAAGGAAGGAAGAGAGGGGATTTGGGGAATTTACTGTGAATGAAGGAGAGGGAGGGAAAGTTAGGGAAGATAAGGGGAAGAGGAAGAAGTAATCTAACCAAATGGGATAAGGGTGAGAAATTATCATCCTAACCTTACTTCTAACACACACCAACAGAATTTTGAATTGTGTAAAATTATTAAAGTCTTAAAATTAAATCGAGTAAAACTATTATAATCGAGAACTATATTAAGTATTAACTCTTAACAAATTGATTCTATAGGAGTTTGATTTGAAAGTCAGCATTGAGTACAAAAAAAATTTCACCTGATAAGATAGTAAGAAGAGTTATTCGGTTTTTTGATTATTCAACTAAATTATTTGTGTTACCAAGTACCGTGTGCACCAGAGAAGGTTACCCTCTAATAGAGTCAATAGTATTCAAAATAAAATATTGATTTTTTTATATAACTTTGATAAATTTTAAATTAACATAAATTGTAATCATATATACACCATATATATAGAATATAAATGTTCATGATAATTAGACATATTATTGTCCAAATTTAAGTGATTAACTCCGAAAGAGATAGTCAAATAAATTTGAACTGAGTTTATTCGATTCCAAATTAATCAGAACCAAATACAGTTAAACTAATATTAGCAAACCAAAATATACTCTAAATGCATAAAATCCCATTCATGCTATAATCACTCAAGTCATATACTTAAATCAACAAATGAATAGATCAAATGGTAAGAAAAAGTAATGATAAACAGAAAAAGATTGCATCCATGATCCATCATCAAACCTACTACTACTGATCTGATCTCAAAGAAAAGCAAACATGATGAATCACATAATAGTTGAGCAACTGCTAAATATCAGCTTCAAACATTTGGATGAATGTACTTTTATGTCGTATACCCCCTTCCAATAATTTACCAAAGTTTTTTTTTTTTTTTTTTGATAAGAAAAAGATGCAGCAATTTGAATGGTAGGGAGGGAGGAGAAGCAACACCTCTCTGCCAGTATACATCATCAAATTCCTTTTACCAAACTAAAATCCTTCACCCTTTGATCAGGGGTGAATCGGTGGTTAAACGCCTACTACTGTTTCTTGCTCTTCCCTTTCTTCAACTTCTCCTGCAGTTTCTTTTTCTTTGCTTCTGCTGTGATCCACGTGTATTCCGGAGGGACTGCAAAGGGATCTTGAATATTCTCAATCTTGCAGCTCGAACTCCCGGTGGATGAACTACTAGGACGCTGATACGGGGCTTTTATCCACTGAAACCAAGACGTGGATGGCTGGGCCACAGTCGGGCTTTCCATGCCTGGAGCGGTGGGACTTGATGGAGGAGTTTGAAACTCGTCCAGTGGCTGCAATTCTTCAAACTTTGTGAAAGTAACCAGTACTCTGATCGTAGGAACCACTGGAATAGCAACCTGAAACAACGCATATCATCAATACAAGAATAAGTGAAAATGCAGCAGTACCGGGCTTAGTACCCTATTTTATAAATCTTGTAATGTAATACAATGCTCATCTTCCAAAAACTTTTTTTTTGAATGACGAGGAAACCCGCAGTCACTACCCGGGGTAAACCCCGCCCTGTAACCCTAGATCGCAGATGAACACAAGGAGGTAAACTAGCCTAGGTTTCCAATAGCTAACCAGCTCAAACCAAGAAGGCCAATATGCCGCTCCCACTGAGAGTTGAACTTGGAACCTTGTAGTTACCAAGCCAACAACCTGACCAACTTGGCTAGGGTTGCCCCCTCATCTTCCAAGAAGTTTGGAAGGAGAAAATGATGCAGGTGCGTTTTCCAGATCCAGTATGCGCTCATATAGGGCATTAAATTAAATTTGCAGTGATACTAAAGCCAAACAACAATCTTCTTGTTTGCAATTTTGCATAATGGAGTATATAGTATTATAAATCTAAAGATGGTGAAAAATTTTGATGGCTTGGATCAGCCGGGGCACTAGATGAAACTTTTTCTAAGCAAGTCATATAATGGCGGGACAGTGATACAAGTTTGATATAACGGTTCTTATGTGTCCACCGACCACCACATTTGGAATAAACCAATTTACTTTATTACAACCCTCTAAAAAACACTATAAACGCTTAGTGTAGAAAAACTAATACATGGATGGCATGATCTTCATGACAGATTTAAGAAAATGGAGTAAATACACCAAACTATTTCAAATTGCAGCTTCATCCCAGCCTTCTTAGTCTCTCCTACGGTACTGTTCCATCAATCTCCCTAAACCCTAATTTTATAGTTTTCTGTTTCTTGCTACCAACACCTCAGCATCCATACAAGTTCATAGATATACAACTGGGCATATGGCCACCATGAGATTAGATTATAAAGAGTTCCAGGCACACAAACGAAAGCAGTGACCTTAGCTTTGTGAGTGGACTCAAGTGTAAGGGTGACAATGAAGTGGTAAAGGAAGAGTATACAGAAAGAAGTTTATTTTGTAAAAAGTGTATGCAAACCTAAATCTCAATGTTGGGTGGCTTTTTGTCTATTCCATCCATCAACTTATCACAGAAATAAAAGCAAAGAATCAAAGCAAATAAAGCGTACACAAATATCTTAGTTACACTAGTGCAGAGGTTCAAGTATAGATATCGCACCTTAACCGGAAAGGTTCCTTTTGGAAGCTTTGTTGTGAGCAATTCTCTCAGTCTCCGGATAGCCTTAACTTTGTTAGCAAGAATGTCGAGAAGTGGCAACAGCTCTTCAGTTCTCAAAGGGAAATCCGGGGCAAGCCATAGAACAGGCCTCAATCCTTTCTTATACTCACTCTCCCGGCTTCCATCTTTGCGGCGGTTTGAACTCTCAGCGTTGGCAGATGAAGAAGCTCTCACGTCTCTTCCTCGTCGAAGCTCGTCCCTCTTCAAGCTAACATCCATAGAATGCCTTCCTGGCTTTGATTCACTAGGGGGTGAAGAACTGTCAACACAATCATTAACCTTCTCTTCTACACTGATAGAACTTCTAGGTGGGATAACCTTTTTATCTCCTTCAAGTTTATTGTCCCGTTTCCTCCAGCCATTAAACCATCTTTTCTTCTCCTGGGCATTCTCGCCATTTCTACACCCATTTATCTCCTCGATGTGAATATCCCTTTGCTCATAGCAACTATGACGATGTGCAATGGTTGAATCACCATTCTCGATGCCTACGTCTGTTGAGTCCAACTTAAGAGCAGCCTCAAGTTGTTTTCTTTCATCCTCCGTCAATATCTCATCAAGATCCTCACTCTCGGTCTCGTTTTCATTGCACGAATTGAAGAATTCATCATCTGTCATAGCTCCTGGAACTCTTCTTGATTTAATGCTCACAACCACATTGTGCATATCGTATACTTTTGCCTTCCAAGGGCCCACCATTTCCGTTTTTTCTTGCCGCCTCCATGTCATCTGAGGCAGCAGAACCGCTTGAGTGACATCGATTCCGGGCCTGAAAATGTTTGTTTGAGACATTGCATCCACTTCATGCTTCACTTCAGCCTCGGTTGCTGGAGCACCAGCACCGTCCAATGCATTCATAATTTCCTTATCTTTGTGCGACACCATGCACAGTGAACCGGGAGGGAATTTCCCGTCTTCAGAGCCATCACCGAGGAAGAGAATGCTCTGATCAGAACGCTGAATTCTAAAGCCATCGAAACCAGCCAAAGTCATGTCCGCCCTCAAATTTGCACCCCTCTTCCAGATTTTGTAAGTGTCGGAGGGCGCAATCCTGGAAATGAAAGGGATAACAGAACTCTCGAAATTAAACGTGATTTCCATGTAAAAATCTCGCATCCTTCTCATCGTCCCGATCAACCGGGGCAACCTTCTGCACCATTTGGCCCAAGCCAAAGGCTGGTAGTGTCTAACAATAATCTTCGCAACGCCCTCCTCCCTGTTACAAATTGCCTCCTGCAGTGCACTCCACCCCTGATCATTCTGCAAGCTCCAATCCGCCCCGGCAAGCATAAGCATTTCGGTGGCCGATTCATCACCGAGCTTGACAGCCAAGTGAAGAGGCGTGTCCCGGTTAGGAACATCACGACGGTCAATCACAGCTGAAATAGCATCAACCTTAGCTTCCTCGGCAACCGAAGTCGATTCAGAATGAATTTCAGCCGGGTCACAAAGCCTTGGCAGGCCTGCAATTATCCTCCTGAGACTCGCATAATCTTTCAAGATTATAGCCTTATGCACAGGGCTATGGGCATATTTCGAAACCTCAAACCCTGCCATGCCTCAGGAGTACTCAAGGCAACCACACAGTTTACACTATACTCTCAAACCCAACTCAATCATCAAAGTTCACAACTTTCCCTAAGAGCAATCTACCCAGTAATGAAATACTTACATATTCCAGAATTAAACACAACCCCACTTCATATATTTCCTCAAAATTCAATAATTTCAAATACTTGCTCAAAACAGAAGGACAACCACTTCAAATTACAATCTTATAGGGTAAACCAATATAAATCTTGCAAGGTGCCCAAGAATGAAAGTCAACGAAACTCACCTCCCTCTCCTCCTCCTTCTAGTCGGTGTTGCTGAAGCTCGCTCGAAAAGACCAAATTTTGATGGGAACCAAAAAAAATAAAGGAACAAAAATATATTCTCGCGATTGGATCCAGATCAGACAAACTCAATAACCAGGCATGTGGGCGGTAGGGTGAAGACAGAGAGTGCTAGTGCAAAAAAAAAAAAAAAAAAAAAAAGGAAATAAAGAAAATCGAAAACTCTGGGGGAATCTGATATGGGTTGAAGAATCAAAGAAAAGAATACTCAATGAAAAAGCATACAAGTCAAGCAAACGGCAAAACAGTTGATGTAAAAAAGGAATAAAAACAGTAGGAGAAGGAAGCGAAAAATGAAGGCAACTATTCACAAGAAAAGATAGAATCAGAGCCAAGAAAAGACCTTTTTCTAATTTCTAAAAAAAAAATAAAAATAAAGAATACAGTATAAATGTTGAGGTTACAATTATGAAAGGAGTAATTTCAGGGAGACTGGAGTCAAGGAGGAGAACAGCAAAAGGACTACAATTTTTAACCTTTATGTAACGGATAAGGGTAAACTAAGAGAGAGAGGGGTGGGAATTTTTAGAAAGAGAAAATATTTTAATTGTAATTTAAATTTATTTATCTCAATTAAAATTATGAGTTGGTTGGAATAATACGAGCAAAGTGTCACAAGAAATGAATCAGGCTTACTTTGATGATAAGAGAGACATCTAAAGTTAGAAGGGTTGTAAGCAAGGGTAGATACTAGATACTAGATAGTCCCCATTTTGTTTTAAAAAAAAAAAAAAAAACAAAACAAAATTGTAATTTAGATACAAGAAAGGCTAAAATAGGGAAGGCAGCATGTGAGTCTCGAAAGAGGAAAATTTTATTTTCCTAAACTGATAACACCCTAATTACAAAATTTTTAATTTATTTTTAGGGAGAAGTGTCAAATAGACTCATGTACTATTGGCAATTGCTCAATTTCCACCATGAACTAAATTAAAGGTTAATTAACCACACTTACTTACTAAATTTGTTCAATTAGCATTTTTAGTAATTGAACAAATTTAGTAAGTAAGTGTGGTTAATACTCTTTAATTTAGTTCATGGTGGAAATTGAGCACTTGCCAATAGTACATGGCCTATTTGACACTTCTCCCTTATTTTTATTTTAAATTTTTAGTGAAAGAAGTAAATAGTAGGACGTGACTATATTTAATTATAGAGGTTAGCGAACATAGCTTTCGATAAATTATTCGTGTTCATGTTCGATACGCGTTCATTTATTAAGATAGGTGAATATAAATGAACAATTTTTAGAGTTCAGTTCATAAACGAACAGAGTTTGAACACTTGTAAGCTCGTTTGCTAAGAGCTTGTGAACAAGCCCATTTGTAATATATATATATATATATATATATATATATATATATATATATATATATATATATATATATATAGTTGTGATGTTTGTTTGGTTATTGTTTGTGAATATATATTATTTGTTGTTCACGAATGAATTGTGATCATGAACATGAGCATGTGTTTCGTTATTAAACGTTCATGAACCTGTTGTGTGACCATGCATGCATATGGTATATATTTTAATGTTTACAAAATAGTATGAAAATATTTTTGAGAATTCATGATTTACATGCATAAGGTTCACTATTTGTATGCATATAGTTTATTATTTTAGCATGTACAAATTGATTGAATGTTGATTATTTATACATGTATATTATAGGCTCGTTCCAATTGTATATGATGAGGTTCATTATGTGTAGAGCATAGCTAAACTTATTTTGGCTCACCTCACTCCTTATAATATATTCAATAAATCAAGGTTCATTATTTGTATACATAAGGTTCACTATTTCGTCAATGCATAAAATTTAGGCATAAACTTGTGTGAGACCGTCTCACAGATCTTTGTCAGTGAGACAGATCGGGTCAATATGAAATATAATACTTATACTAGCAAATGTAATACTAAATCAGGAATAAAATATTTATTACTTATATGGAAAAATGTAATACTTCTACATCAAATTAAAATTAAAAGTATTATATTTGTCCTCAAAAGTATTATGTTTTTCCTTACAAGTAAAAAATATTATATTTTATTCATAATTTAGTATTACATTTGCTAGTATAAGTATTACAACCCGACTCATCACAAATAATAATCCGTGAGACGGTCTCACACAAGTGTGACCCATTACTCAATATATAATACGACATATTGTGAACTTATTGGCGCTATGTTTGGTGTTTGGTAAAACTTATTTAGGAGTGTATATCTTATTTTTAAATTAAAAAAAAAAAAAAGAGACTTAAAACTCCATTTTGTCAACAAAGGGTAGTTTAAAATAATAACTTATTTTGAAATAATATTATTTTGGCACTATTTGACAAACTTAACTGATAAGATAGTTCAAAACTAAAAGTTAATAAATTAACTTATTAAAATTAGAAGTATTTAGTAAAATTAACCATTAAGAAATCTGATAAATATCAAAAGAAAAAAGAAAAAAAAAACATAGAGCCACAAATAAGGAAACTGGTAAAGAACCACATCATAAAGTGGCAAAATTTGTGTTATTTTTGTATGGGTGGGAAGCATTTATCAAATAATATTATCATTATTATGTCACTTATATATAATATATAATCTAAAAAACTTATAAGCGTAAATACATGTTAGTATCCCTAAATTTAAAGAACATGGAAATAATTTAGAGATATAACATGCATTTACTTTTATAAGTTAGATTCGATCTCAAATATAGCTAATTAGCTATATTGAGAATAAATTTTATATAAAGTGCTTATAAAGTGTTGATATAGTAGTTACGAAATTTCACTTAAAATTTGTTTTCGAACATTGATCATTAATTTTAAATATTGTCTATTGAACCAATGAGCTAAGACTATACGGGTAATTGTTATAAGTTCAAATATTTAATTTTTAGAACATTATCTAATAGATAAAAGGTCTCACTTGATATTTGTTCCGTAATAAATTAAAGTAGAAGTTCAATTTCTCGGACATAATGGTGATTGGTGAATGGGCTAGTAAATGCTCTTATCTTCAATCAAACAAATTTAATACGCATAAACGCGTTAGGAAAATATCAATCAATACTTCAAATATCATGATTTTATACAAATAATATGATTATTGGACTAATGGCCTACCCGCCTATGGTAGGCAAATTTTTCAGTGGACCATGGTCAATGTAATAGTGTAGTCCATAAAGTAAGTATTATTTTAATTACACTTTATTTACATTTTATAATATTGCTTTGTTTTTTAGTTTCATTTCCTACATACACTAGTTTCATTCATTTCCTACCTACACTAGTTTCATTATAGTAATACAAAAGTATCATTTTAATTCTAGTACAGTTTCATTTGACAATATACATTGTAGTTTCATTTTCCAGACACACTAGTTTAACTATAATAATGCTAAAGTATTATTTTAATTACACTCCATGTCATTTGACAATATATGTTATTATATGACTTTGGATTTTAGTTTCATTTTAACAATATTAAAATATTATTTTAATTATACTACAATTTCATTTGACAATATATGTTGTTGAATAAACTCTATTTTTTAGTTTATTATTCACACACACTAGTTTCATTTTAACAGTATTAAAGTATCATTTTAATTATTTTACAGTTTTATTTGACAATCATAGTTCACATAGAACTATTAACTATGTCAATTATATAAATACTAAATAAAGTGTTTGGAAACCGATCACGGGTCGGGTACCGATTCCGTGTCTGACAACCCGATATGACCTCCATTGTTTTGTTTTGTTTGTTTGTTTGTTTGTTTTTTTTTTTTTTTTTTTTTTGACCTCCATTGTTAATTAACTTCTTTCTTATATCGAGCCCTTTCCCTCGACTTTATTTAGTGGCCTCTCAACAGTCTCAAGTCTCAATACACATTTAAACAATTACGGAGTATTTAATAAAAATAAAACGTTTTCCAACTTAAATGAATTAAGAAAGCAAAGTTTCTTTCACAAATGTTACTATGGACCATGAATTAAAACACAATTGCATAAATAATAAATTTTAAGGTCATACTTGTATGAGACCATCTCACGGATCTTTATTTGTGTGAGACATGTCGATTAGATCAGGCCAATGTGCAAATGTAATTCTTATACTAGTAAATATAATACTAAATTAAGAATAAAATGTTTGTTACTTATAAGGGAAAACCAAATATTTTGAGAACAAATATAATACTTTTATATTTTGATGTAAAAGTATTACTTTTTTCATCAAAAGTATTATATTTTCCCTTATAATTCCTAATAGAGGTCTCACTTAAATTTTCGTTGATGGAGACATTACTATTTGAATCTTGAAGTTCATCGAAAATCTGGATGCTGCTCAAGCACATTAAACATCATGTCATCTCGCGAATTCTTCCGAAATAATTATGTAGTGCAAATGTGGTCATATAACACCAATTTGGTCTCCAAAACTGTGACTTTTTAATTAGCAAGTATTTTCCATCTCTTCTTCAATACTCTATACGACCTCTCAATATAATTTCGAAGAGAAAAATGTACACGAATGATGCATATATATATATATATATATATATATATATATATATATATATATTAGGTACAATTAAACACGTCCAAATTAACATTATACCTGGTGCAACTGATATGTTAAAATTTTCTATAAGTTTTATAATGGATCAAGATCGGGTTGAAAATTAACTACCTTTGCAATTAGATCATTAAGGGCCATATATAGCTAGGAGTTCCCAAATATGGCACCCATCTTTGCTACTAGGGTCTTCACTTTTCCTACCCAAAGTGGTCAGAACCATCCTTCCACCTTTCACCAATTCATCTGAACGACATTTGAGGAAAGTCGAAAAATCTCCTTCAAATTGGTGCGCAAATTATGCTGTGCAACCGAATGCACCTTACAAGGTGCATACGGTTGCAAAACGGCGCCGTTTTGGTTAAAAAAAACGCGCGTCCCACTTAAAGAAGAAATCAGGTTCGATTCCCGGCAATAGCATTTTTATATATCCAGAAATTCATAACTATATAACCACAATTTCATAACTATATATCCACAATTTCATAACTATATATCCATAGTGAATGAATGAAGTAAAAATCTACAATGAATGAATGAATGAAGTAAAAATCCACAATGAATGAATGAATGAAGTAAAAATCCACAATGAATGAACTAAATATCCACAATATATGATTGAACTAAATATCCACAATGAATGAACTAAATATCCATAAATTCATAACTATATAACCACAATTTCATAACTATATATCCACAATTTCATAACTATATATCCACA